GCATGGAGCCTGCGTGCCACACTCCACGTGGCATGGCCACCACTCTGACAGGTCCCATGCAAACATGAAAATGTGCTTTCTCTCCTGGATGATTGGCCCCAATGGCAAAAGAGGAAGCTCTACAGGGAGACAGGAGATGAGTGCAGTCTGGTGCATGATTAATTTATATCCTTAAAGGTCTGAAATGCTCCCAAAGACATTAGTATTCCCCAGGTAAAAGAGCTGTCCAGATTTTCAACATATCCCTGCCTTATATCTAGTGGAATTAATAGCTGAAGTCTGTTGAAGCCCAACAGTCAAGCATTTAATTGAATACAGAACCTGAGATCATAGTTTGGGAGTCTACATGTTGCTGTCAGAAACAGACACAGCCCAAATTTTCATTTCTACTTAGACACTTTTATAATATCATGAAAGCATAAATGCATCTCAGAGTGGGTGCAGTGCCAACACTGACAGCCTCTTTACACTGCCAAAATATTGATATGAAGGGCCCTTCAGAGGAATGTGAAAATAAAAATCCCCTTCCTCGCATCTATCCCCAGTAAAAGTGACGCAGTCCAAGAGCTTTCTAGAGTAAATTAGATTCCAGATGGTTCACTCTGTCTCTTTCTATTTGTGTGGGTAGGCCTGTCCAAAAGGAGGTTGTTTATGCACTGGGAGGAGAATGAAGAAATCCACCCAAGTGTTTTAAAAGTAGGCATGAACCCACACTTGTTTTTACACACTCTTTAGTACTCCATTAGTACTTTGCACCCAGAAATTATTCCATTTCTCTGTTGTAAGAGTTGCTATGTCTAAGTTGGAGAGGGATTCTTTGGGTTGAATAAACACTACCTCCTGCTTCCCATATTTAACTTTTCAATAGGGAAGATCTGCTGCCAGTTTTTTCCAAGTAAGTGCTGGGGTAACAAGGACCCCACCCCACCAGTCCTGGCTGAACCCAACGCTGCTCCCTTGCCCAGCTCATCCCCCCAGTGTCCTCAGTCAGGGCCAGGGTTACAGGGCACTGACATGGAAAAGTGCTTGCCAGAGGCTGCACAACATACTTCATGGCCAGCTCTCTGAAGGAAATGTGCTGAACAGGCTGATGGAGCCTTCACAAGCCATGGTGGAACTGGCACAGAAAACACAGATGCAGTTTTTTAGATTTGTTAGATGATAGCCTCTGTCTCCAGCAGCACATTTTGCTGACACTATCTCAAATCCTCCACCCCCTCCTACAGATGTGCAGAATGCAGTAGCTAAAAAAGAGAAGTTGGAGACCCAGAACATTGTTACTGTAAATTTAAATTCTTGGAGCCACGTTTGTTTTAAAACTCAGGCAAGCAACATCACGTCTGGCTTCAGTTAGATTGTTTGCTAACTTACTTGCAGCTACTTATTTCAAGATGCACAGGCTAGAAGTCATGTATATGTCCATGTCTTTGCTTTCTGTAATTGCCAATAATATTTCTAAAGCATCTTTTTTTCTTTTTTTAAAATTATCCTGAGTCCTGGTAAAAGAACCATAATTTTTTCCTGGTGCAGTTCAAATCAGTTGACGTGGGGTATGAAAGAAAGCCTTAACTCCAAGGTGTCAGAAAATACCAAGTGATCAGCAGAAAAAACCCCTTTGGTTTGAACTTTGCTTTACAGGTGCCATATGGTATTTCCAGTTTAAAGAAAGAACTAGGAAATCTGCTCCAAAATGATGGAATTTAATAGGCTAAGAAATTGTTAGATAGCTTATCAGTAAATGTAATGTCAGTTTGGAGAGGGCAGCCCAGTGGTTGCTGAATATGAATATGAATTGTTGGTCTGAAGAAATTTATTATTTCAGTGATTTAAATCTACTGGTCTGTAGTATATTCACTGTCTTTCCCCTAAACTGCTACATTCTATTGCTCTCCCTTTGAAGAGGAATGTGAAGCAGGCAGGGATCCTGCAGGAGGGAATCCCAAATGTGGTTGTTAGCAAGATGGTGTTGTATTTATCTCCTTATAAATTGTCAGTGGGATTTCCATGATTCTGGGTATTTGAAAAGTATGATGAGTATTATATTTCACCATCTAGAAGCATTCTGACTTTTGACTGAATGTTTTGCTCAATTATTAACAGAGGACAAATAAGTGATGGAAAAAAGAGGACAGCAGCAGCAGGGTTGGTGCACACATGTGAGTTGAAGGTGTCTCCCTGTGGCTGGGCACTCTGAAAGGTGTCTGTAGCCAGGCAGGACATGGCTGTGGATGGGACTGTGGGACTTGAAGGAAGTGGGAAGAAGCTGCACCTATGTGGATGGGTTGAGGTGCCTCTACACAGCTCACACAATTTGCTTTCTAAAGTGAAAAAGAGTTTTAATTTCTATACCTTCTAGAGTATTTCTAGGAGTGGCTGTGGAAGTTGGCACCTAAGCTCTTAAACGCACTGAGCTGGGCACAACAGGGTCATATCAGCACAGGCTGTAAACAAATATTTGCTGGTTGCAAGGACTATGGCATGTAGCATATGCTATATAAATTGCATGTCCAGACAAGTATATATTTACAAGACCTGCTTCCCACAATGCAAATGCGTCCTTAAACATGCAGGAATGAAAACAAACAAACAAAAAACCCTCCTGAGCTAATGCCATTCAAAAACCCACGTAATCCACATATAAATATCCATGCAAAAATGGTAGCAGGAATACCTGTGTGTTCACTGTGAGCAGAAACATGAACACCATGCCCCAGACAGTTTTGTAAAATAAATTTTGTCTTCAGTTTCAGTTTAATAGCTCAAGATCTTTCTGCCAGATGTATGAATGGCTTTGGGAGGAAAGACACAGGAAGGAAAATGAAGATGTGATCAACCTAGGAAATGGTTCTTGGGAAACCTTCCAGCACCATGAGCAAGCGAAGGCAGGAGTGCATTAGCACTGCACACTGTCTGATGAGCGCTCCAGCGGCTGGTTCATGGGACATAACGCTTTGTTTCACTCAGAAACAGACAGGGAGAAAGCAAATGCATGTAACAGACACAGCTTTAAAGGTTTTTAGCAGAGGCTCGTGAAGTTTTACCAAAGAACAAATGGAGACTTGTGGGTGTACTAAGAGAGATGTCAAGACCTGAAATGAATTGATGGACCACAGTCATAGTCATAGCTAATTGACAGTGACATGTTTTGCTTTGCACTCTTTGGACTGGAAATGAGATTTTGAGAAATTAAACTCATGAGGCCAGCATGCTCAAAATTACAGTTTTTTAGCTGTTCTAATAATCCCTTTCAAAAATATCACTGCATGCTCGATTATGTGTCTCTACCTATAATTTTGAACTTGTTGCAAACAGACAAAAGCACTGATTAAATATGTCAACCATATTAAACTCAAAGATTCTGAATACACCAAAAAGTGCAAAGGAACTGTACAAAAAGAAGCAGGGTGGCTAAAAAATTAATTTGGCGCAAAAATGAGATTTCAACACAAACAGAGAAAAGCCACTGTATCAAAGATGAAATGTAGAGTTGTAATGACAGGAACCCATAAAGATGAAGGCTTGGGAATAATAGGGTGGAAGGTAATATTGGTGAAGGTAAACAGAGGCATCCTACACAGATGTGACACTATTTTTTACACAGACCTTGTAAAGATGCATCTAACATTAGGTCCAAATTGCTGTCACTCTGGTGCTTGAAAGAAGGGGAGCAATGGTTTTGGGAAGTGAATTGGATGTGTGATTGGAGAAGCATTGTTTGGGAAAAGAGTCTGCTTGCAGTGAATGCCATGATGCAGTAATGCTAGTAGGACAGAAATGCCCATCAAACAGAGACAGGTGTTACCTCTGAGATACACCACAGGGCAATGCCAGAGCACCGGGCATCTCCCATAAAGAAAACAGTGCTATTTCAGGAGCAAATCAGGCTACAAGCATCAGGATCTTACAATTACAGAATAGTTTGCATTGGAAGGGACCTTAAAGGTCACCTGGCTCCAACCCCCTTGCCATGAGCAGGGACACCTTCCACTAGACCAGGTTGCTCAAAGCACCATCCAAGACTGAGCACTGCCAGGCACGGGCATCCACACCTTCTGTGGGCAGTCTGTGCCCATGCCTCAGCACCCCCACAGGTAAGGATGTTCTCCTGGTATATAGCCTAAATCCACCCCTATTCAGTTTAAAGCCATTCCTCCTTGTCCTATCACTACATGTCCTTGCAAAACTCTGTTGTAGTACCCTTTGGGTACTTGCAGGTCCCATAAGGTCTCTTCTTCTCATCTCTAGGCTGAACAACCCCAACTCTCAGCCTGTCTTCACAGGAGAGGTGTTTCAACCTCCTGATGGTTATCAAGGCCCTCCTTTGGACTCACTCTAACAGCTCCATGTCTTTCTTACACTGGGTGCCCCAGAGCTGGATGCAGTGCTTCAGCTGAGGGGTCACCAGAACTGAGCAAATGGGCAGAATCCCCTTCCTTGCCCTGCTGGCCACGCTTCTTTGGAGGCAGCCCAGGGTGTGGTTGGCTTTCAGGGCTGTGAGAGCATACTGCTGGCTTATGTCAAGCTTCTCATCCTCCAACACCCTCAAGTCCTTCTTCTCAGGGCTGCTCTTGATCTGGTCTGGGCTTAGTGGCTCCTGCAAGGGCAGTCCACTGGGATCAGGGCCCAAGACAGGCAGGCTAGTGAATCAGAGCCACTGTGTAAAATGAGGGTTAGTTGACAGAGCAGGAGAGAAAAATCAAGGGAGAAGAAGGTCTGTTGTTCCTTTTATTGGGAGTCTGGAGGCTAAAAAGAACCTGAGAAGGAGGCATTTACTGTTGCATGAAGGGTCTAGACCAGAAACAATGACTGGCATAATGTGCACCTGAGACCTGATGCAAACCCACCAGAGTCAGGCCATTCCTTTCACCACTTCCAAGAACCCTTGAAGCTACCAGGACTGTGCTGCCTGATTCTCATATTTGTCCCCCTGTGAGGCCAACCTGCTTGCCCCAACACTGACCCACAGAGCCCAGTTCCCAAGACCAGCTGGTGCTCCTCACCTGACCACCTTGGTGCCGTTCCTCATGACCTGCATGTCCACCATGCAGCCACCCATGACATAAGCAGCCAGGTTCAACTCGGAGAACTCAGCCTGGAATGGAGCAAAAGGACAAAGTGTTACTCAAGGGTGGCAGAAACACAAACACACAGACACAGATGCAGAATTTTCTTTGTCTGGAATGTGCCTTTCCTTCTTTTCTTTTTTTTTTTTCTTTTTTTTTTTTTTTCCTGTGAGGCAACTGGAGATCCAATTATAGCTGGTTTGCCCTGAGAGACTGCAGAAGTATTTATGGCTCCCACACTTGGGCTGTGAAAGTACACAGGATTAGACTTATTGCAGTAATAAGTACTGAAGGAATTAAGAATGAGCAGGCTGAAAAATGCATACAGGAAAGAATAATAAAAATAATAACAATAATAATGAAAAGATGTAAGGTCATTTGAATTCAAATTCCAAGTTTCCACTTGGAGACATCCATTTAGAATTATGTCTGAGTTGGCTGCCATGCCACTGGCCAGCTTTATACCTAATACAAAAGATTCAAACCTTTTTAAACCTCATTATGTTGCAGGAAGGTGATAAGCAGAGGTCACCTGATGTGATTTGCTTACTAAGTTTTTTACTATTAAAGAGTTAGCAAAGCTGGGTAAGTTATTAAGAGAGCTGCTCAATCATTAAAACACTTTGTATTTTAAAAGAGGCATGACTTGCAAGGCTGGAATAGTTGGCAAGGGATATTTCAGCCATGGGGAGCAAAAGATACAGGGGTGATTATGATAAATATAAATAAACAGGTTTCATTTTTTGAGGCAGAAAATTCAGTCTTCTCCCTCTGAGCAGTTTTTTCCCCTTCCTTTTAAGGCATTTTTTCAGACTTAGTATGATGAAGGCTGGGCAGCAGTAAATTCATCTTCTAACCAGTAGCTGTCTAATACCAGAACACTCAGATGGTGCTGCTAATACTTATGACTTTATTGAGATTCTTGTACTGTTTAATGTTCTTCTGCTACTTCTATTAGTTGGAACCAAAAGATAGTGCCAGGAACAAATTTTATGCATTAAAAAAGAAGGAAAAAAAAAGAAAAAAAAAGTGTGTTTTGTCCTCATGAACTCATGGAAAAAACTTGCCAATGGAGAACTGGTGCACCTGTAAAGGCTCAAAGGCCAGACGAAAAATGAAAAAATAATTTCCAACTTTCCTTTTAAAATCCATGTAATTTTAAAGCCATGGCTGTGGACTGGTGACCCGATGATGTAATGAGATTTCATGTCTGCAGCTCGGCGTAAAGTTTTTAAAGCAACACCCTTACACAATCTTACATCATTGTAACTCCCCATTACAATGAAAAGAGGGGGAAAATTCCTATTGCCAAGAAATAAATTCTACTTCAAACACAAACACACACACAGACATGCTCACAGGGAGGGATTGGCAGTGGTTCAGGTGACTGCCTGGGTTTTACTCATGAGAGATTGCATTGTGTTGCCTTGGCCACAGCCACGCTTCTTCAGTGACCCTATCAGATCAGAGGTGAGCAAACATGCACCCCTGAAAGGCACCTGCCTTTTATATATTTAAAAAATCTCAGGAGACCTAGGGGGAGAGGAGTCCACCTTGGACAAACTCAGTAAGATCAGATATTTTGGGTACCATCAGCGATCTCCCCAATGGGACATGGCAAGCTTGCTACTGTCCACATTAGCTCCAGAGGCTCTGTGGACTGGGGAGATGAAAGGATGCTTTTTCCACCTCTGTGTCTCCGTATGCCTCAGAGATGTCCCACTCTGAAAGCAGAGTGTTGTGGAGCTGTACCTCCAGCTTCTGTTGCTGAGGAATGCATCATCTGATGTGAACACCAGTGCAAGAAAGAGAAGTTTTAGGTCTGTGTTTTCATGTTTTTTATGCTTTTCTTCCTAAGTTTTTTTCCATGATGGTTTGTAGTAAAGTGCTTAACACTCCTCTTTGCTGGGGGAGAAAATGGGCAGCCTTCATTCGATTTGGGGCACTTGTAGTGTGCCTAAGTTGGTCTGACAGGCATTTCCCTGAGGCAGTCAGGCCAACAAAGCTGTGCTCAGACACCTGACCTGCAAACAGCCCTGAGAACCCCCCGAGCTGGTGAGTACTTCATGCCAAACTGCCAGGACCAATTTCAGGCCCTGCTAATGTCAAGAGCCAGAAGAAAAGGAGAAATCCCCTTTGGCAACCATTGTCCAGGGAACACTGGCAAGGAGAGAGAAGTGAGTGTAGAGAGGGTCTGGGGGATTCAGCTATCTCACTCCCAAAACGTCCAGATCTACAATCAGAGCTGAGGGACAATCCTGACCTTTGCCTGGCATTCACTTCTGCTTTAACAGACAAAGTTAAGGAATGCTGCTCCTTTCATGTAGCTGCTTTGTTCCATCCAACAGGCTGCTGCTAGCTGGCTTTTGGAAGAAGGCTAAAACCTTCAGTCAGCAGAAATTGTTTCCTGTTGATTTTCCAGTGCTCCCTGTATTTTTAACTTTGTGGGTTTTGTAGCCCGATGACTTCCCTTGGCTGGGATTTCAGTTCTGAGATCATCTCCAGCCTGAGTTTACCTTGCAGACAAAGAGGTCTTTGAAAGCAGCCCATGCAGATAGAGTGACAGGTAACTATGTACAAAACAGGAGAGCCCAGCTCCCCGTGGCCTTGCAGAGTCATTTGCATTAGGAATCATGGAACAGAAGAAGGCACTGCATTAGCCTGATGGTGTTTTATACTTTGCAGCAGTGCCAGTGGCTGCAAAAACATTCAGGGCAAGAGCAAACCATGTGTGACAAACGTGACACAATCTGTCTTGAAGAATAATCTAATAAGACTGTGGGAGTAGAAATATTTCATGCCTCTGTGAGGCTCAGATGTGAGATGATGCCCACAGCTACTTTGATCACAGTTTTGTCAAAAATGCCTCCTTCAGGTATTAAGAATTGGAAGACTCTCCAAATCATTTGGACTAAACCTTAAGGTACTCTCAGTTTCCATCAGTGTCCTCTGTGTGCTGGAGCTCTTTTTGGTGAGCTATTTTAGAGTGTCTATTTCTGTTTCCTGATATTAAAACAGGAAGATATTTCATTTTCAATCATGCAATAGTAGAAATGCCTGGCTTGGTAGCTATGCCTGTTAGTGATTTAGGGGAAGCATGTGTTCAAGGTGTATTTTAAGCATTTTTCACAGAATAACAGAAAGTTGTGTTGAAAGGACTTCAAGACATCACACAGTCTTTCTCTCTTTCGTAAGGCATGACCAGCTCTGCCTCTGCCATTGTGTGCAGATACTGCATAACCTTCTTCTGTCTTCCATAGATGAGGAACCTCCTCAGCCAGTCTGTACCTTAAAAACAATGGAAAATTTTCCCAAAGCCCAATCTAAATCTCTCCCCTTACATTTTAAGGCAGCAATTTTTTTGTGTCCATTACTTCTTTCTGCAGAAACTGAAGACTTATTTTATTCCTCAAAGACTTGCCCTTCCTTTTTTTTTTTAGACAAAAGTAGTCCCATTCTTATAAGATTTTCTTGTAGGTGATCTTTTCAGTGAATTGATCAGAGTTCTTGCTGTCACAGGGATTCTCTCTGGCAAGTCCACAACTTCCTCCATATGTAAAATTGCCAACCATATGCTTGAGTATGGATTTGTCATACATGCAGCAGTGTGACTATTTTTTAACTCATATTCTGGCTGAAATCCACTGTAATCCCTGCACTGCTTTGTCTGGCCTACTGACTAGCCTGGTCCGTGCCATGGCTTAGGCACTTGGGATGAGGAATTGCTACTGTAAAATCAAATCTCATACATTCCTCATGGATTTTATGCCTTATTTTTTGGTGGATCTTCTGATATGTACAAGGAAGGGCCCACATCAGACTGCATTCCTAAAGCAGCACATTTCACTACAACCATTACAAGCATCCCAAGGGGAAAGTAAGCAATCCCTAAGTCCTGCACAGGCAGAAAGGTGAGCAGATAGTTTGGATGCCTGTGGGATGAGGGCTGAGGCTATGCATGCATGCAGAATTAGAGATTACACATCCTGATTCTTCATGTCTTTTCCTGAGACATTTTCCCTTGGGTAGGCACCCTGCTCCCCGCCTTTCCCCAGTACTAGGATTGCTCTCTGGGAGAAAAGAATGGAGAGAGTCCATCTGTGATGTGAATATTGCTTTACGGCTCCAAGAGCAGCTTCCTCAAGTGCTCTTCACAAGTCCTAAAGCTGGGGTGATTCTCCTAGGCTAGAGACAAGGCTGGTGCTGAAGGGCCACATGCCTTCACCTGTGAGAACACCTTTTGGTGCATCAGCTCTGATGGCTTTCAGAATTGTCTCTTGAGTTTTCATTTCAGAAGTTACCTGAAAATTTGAGGTTTAGAAAAAGCATATTTCTAAATATTTTGATCTCAGAAAATGGTTCAAAACCATGAACTCTGTAAACTTCCAAAAGCCAATGAAAATTAAAAAAAAAAGAAGATAGTATTCATTTAAGAAAATAATGATTTTAAAGTAATTCTTGCTACTTCTCCCTTTATTCATGGTTTCTGAATGCTTGCATGTGGCAAGCTACGAGAACCCTGTTGCTGTTCTTGAACTGTTTTCTGGCATTCAGCTGGAAAAAATCCCAAACCCTAAACATATAATGAATAAAAATTATAGCGTTGTTTGACAAGAGGCTAGTTTTCCTTTCATCACACACAGATCTGTCACACTCTACCTTTTGAAAGGACCATTTTACACCACACATGAAAATACCTCTTTAGGGCGGGAAGTACAATGGAGCTGGAACTCATGATTTGTATGACAATTATCTTCTGTGACTGCCAAGTACAACGTTTTTCCTGACAATGCTGCCAATGGAGTCATAATCTATACCACAAGACTTTCCCAGAAGCATGTACATAGGAGTTCACTGAATAATCATTCCCTGAAAATAAACTGAACAGTGGGAACAAGTGAATGAGCTGTGCAAGAAAAATGCGTGTCAGACAGACAGATGGACCCACCTCGTCACAGCAAGGAAACGGTGGGAAGGAGAAGGGTGAACAAACACCAGGGATAAAAATATAAATGGACCTCTGGGCTTCAAGACTCCCCTTTCACACTTTTCACCCCACTCCACCATCAATTAGGCAATGCCAGGAAAGATGTCTCTGAACATATTAAAATTCCTTTGGGAAATACCTGCAGGAAAGGTACCCTGAAGGTGGGGGACCCTCTCTAAGAGGTGCTGCTTGCTCTTGCCTGCTGTGTCCCTCACTGGTATGTGCAGGGCACGGGACTGGAAAAGCCCATCACAGCCGTAGGCTTTAATCCCTTGCTACGCTCGGCACTGTGTCATGAAACCCTTACCTGCACCAAGTTATTTACTGAAAGCATTCATGTCTGTTTTGTGCTCTGTTATGGCAGGAGAAACGAACTCAACTCTTGCAGTCTCCTCCCATAAGCCAGATCTCCACGGCCATCCCAGTGACCCTGCTCTGCACATGTCCTGCTTTGCAGACATCACTCTCACAGACGGGCATCAAGGGTCCCCTCATGTGCTCTCACCCTCAGGATCATGGCTGTCTGATGGGCCTGGGGCTGTCACCTCTCAGCCCCATCTCTCTCACCCTCTCTGCTTGTCTCTGGGGATATTTGACCATGAGGCATTCCTCTGGGGCATGGGGCATGCTTCATGCCCAAGGAGACCCCACACAAGGTATGTAATGATCCAAATGGAAAACCTCAGAAATCCTGAGAGCACACAAGGTTTGGTTTCCTCTGGGACAGCACAGAGAGGGTGGGGAAGGAGGTGCTGAATTAGTTTCTCTCTAAAGAAGAAAAACATCTGACAGAGCATAAGGCCTATGGTATAATTCCTCCTCTTCCTCGGTATACTGTGGTTCCTAATGCCTCCTGCCCTCTGGCCAATGAAGAACTGAGAAGATAAAAGCAAGATTTTTTTTTTTTTTGTGAGAGACTAAAAGCAATGTGGTCCACCGCCGTGACACTTTAAGATTCTTCTTTAAGTTCAACTTAGCCTTAGAGACATTTATTCAAACTTATGCTTTTCATTTCTAAAAGAACTTTTTTAGTATTTGTATTTCTAGAGAAAAGAACTAGAGATGCATACACTGCAGTTCTGAAAGCTAGAAATCACCAGACAAGTAAAAGCAACAATGTGGATCAAAATTTAAGCAGCTTATTTTTAGCATAAAATAAGAGATAGTATTTTTAGACTCAGCTGTTCTCTTAAAGCTTATAGCTTTACCCATACTGAGTAAAACTTAAACCATCAGGGGTTTGATCAGAATAGGTCAAATAGATTTTCACTTTTGGATCAGTGTTTCAATCAGTCTCATGAACAGCTATCATTGCTACAGAAGTGGAAAAATACCCAAACAACAAAATGTAATCCAAACTGCCTCTGAAGAAAAAGAGGCCATGACTCAGGGGAGTGCTTGAACTGGCTTTACACCACCAAAGCCTTTCACCTCCCTCCCTGCAGTCAGCAGGAAGAAAGCAGTGTCTCTGCTTGCCTGGTTTCACTAAAAGGTGGACAATAATAAATCCTTCAGCCTTTAAAGCATATTATAAATATGATTTCAGTGTTACACTGAGGATCAGAAGAGAAGAAACAAAGCCAGGCTTCACGTTAATTTTAATAAATGACAGGAGAGTGGTGTACACACTGCAGTGTCCTTGCTGGCTCTCTCCTCATCCACTGGCACCAGGTGATGCCCACAGTAACCCCTGTCTCTTCCTGGGAATAATGGATGTGAAGAACTGGGGCCTGGGCTTGCTATCAAGGTATGCAATTCACTCACTGCCAGAGAACCAGAACACCTTATTGGAGAGTCCATGAAACCTACTTTCATAGAAGCTGAGACTTGCAGAAGCAGCTCCCTGAGCAGCAGGATGGCGTTTAACAGTATCTTCCCTGTGTATTACCCAGTGTCTAACATGAACTGGATTCACCTCTTGCAGAAACCTGCCTGGTTCTGGAATCCAGCTGAAGTGAGCCAATGCATTCCACAGAGCTGGCTGTGGGGGGCAGACAGAGCAGCACAGCATGATCACAAATGTCCTGCACTCCTCAGAGGAGGGGGAGGCAGCCTGGAGAGCTGGTAGGGGTGTACAACCAGATTAGATAACTGAGAGAGGGAGAGACGCTGCTGCTTGCAGCACTCCTGCTCCTTTACAAATAACTGATGTCATGGCTTTCAAAAAATATCACCTACTATCCTGCTCTGCTTCCCCCACAGATTGCTAAAATGGCTTGCTTAGAAAGAATTAAAATGTAACAGAGATGGATATGAAAGAGGAGAGAAAAAGTTCAAACCAACTACTGAACATCCTGGAAGAATGGGAAAAGAGTTAGCATGGGCAGTAAAAATAAGGCAAATGGCTTTTTCCCAGTGTGGTTTTCCAGGAGTATTTAACATTTGGATATTTCCTTTCACTGCTTTCTGCTGTTCAAACTTCTTTGTTATTTAGCCTTTCAGATCAAAAGTGGTTTTTTGCCTATAAAATCTAAAAAAAGTTCCTAAGGCAAACTGCATTTCTGGCTGAGTTAATAATGTGTGGTTATCTGATACAGGATCACATGGAAAAATGAAAAACTAAATGAACTTACTGAGCAGACTAAATGCTCAGGGTTCAAGAGGTGCCTAAGAATTGAAGTCTCTGATGGAGAGTTTATTCAGAACTGAACAGCCAGGTTAAGGCTTGTGCACCATGGCACAGCTTGTGTGCCATGTGGGGGAGAGTTACAGGAGTGAGGGCTGTGAGCTGGGAACTCACAGAGAAAGATGTGGACCATGTTGACGAACACAGTTGTTTTCTTTTTTATTTTTTTAAGAAAACTGTGGAAGAATATTCATTTTCAGGTAGAGAGGGTCAACATTCAACTTCAGGGGACCTGTTCCCACAACAGTTTAGGCTCCTGGGCTGCTTGAGGAAGAGGTGAAGTTGGGAATGCTCCAAATAAATAGGGTAGGAGCAATGAAGAATATCAAGAAATACTGAGCAAGGATGGATGGACAAAATAAGAAGGGAAGAAAAAGCCAGAGTCTGAAGGAATCAGTGCCTCTAACAATACACAAGAGGGGCCTGGGGTCAGATTCAAGGACTGCCCTTGACAATGCAGCCTCTGTGTTTCCCTGGAGAGATAGTGATCCAGCTGGGAAAAGCCATCATCCGTTCTTCTGAGGTCTGGAGGAGTCCAGAGCAGCTCCCTGCCCACTAAAGGGAGGCTGGGCTGCGTGATCTGAGTGGCAGGGAGGAGAAAAGTGGAAATAGCCAGGATCCTTGTTTTCCATTCCTCAACTCTCCTACCCACTGGGCAGTGCTGCAGTCACCATGTGGGCATTTAATGAAAGCTGCAGGGGCTGAGCCATGGTCCTCACCAGGGAAATTGCATTATGGTCTTTGCCTGGAGCAATTTGTTGCCTCATCTGGAACATGGGTATTCAGCCTATGTGAAGGATTTCCAGAGGTAAAATGGAAAAGCCTTCCTACCAGAGCCTGTGGGGACACGTGATAAGCTGCTTTGTGATGGTGACAAGGGTCACAGCTTGATCCCCCAGCAAGGATCAGGAGTCCACTCCTGACCTTCTGCACTCACCAAACATTTGAAGGCAGTTCCTTTGTAAGGACTTCAAGTGCAATAACCTCTGAGGAGAAGGATTATGAGGGGAAAGGCAGAGACTGTAGGTTTGGGAAGGAATTAACAGGCCATTTTGAAGAGTACCAGGTCTAGCTTTGAAGCTGAATCCACCTTGAATGATGGAGAGGCTTGAAGGGAAAACCTAAATTATTTGGTTTCATGCTTCTAAGTGAGTAGCATGATTTGTAAATTTTTAAAATTTTCCTGTTCTCTTTTAGAATAATTCCTAAGGCTGACAACAAAATAAATACTTTGATAAGGAAATGCCAGGAAGAATTATTCTTGCTAATACCACCCAGACTGACAAGTGTGATATCAATAAAAAAAGAAAAATCTGTCTCAGACACAGTTTGATCAGAACATGTGTGCTCAGGAACAGGCATAGACAACAGGACAGGACCCCTTTGAAAAGAAAAGAAACACCTTTTCAAGGGCAATGGGTCCTGAGAAAGTCCTCAAAAGCATTGCATTAATAATATGTACACGCACACATGCAGAATCAACAGCCTTATAAAAACAGAAATATCAGGTCATTCAAACAACATTCAGCAGCTTTCTTTACCCACCCAAACATTTTTATAGTCCTAATGAGTATAAAACAAGCATATGGTTCCTTCAGGACCACCTTCTTATCTCTACATCTCTCTCTTCTTATGCCTGATTTCCAGTTGGGGGCCTGCAGATGATGATTATTAATAATAATTTCTCTTTTGGCAACAGCATCCAGTCTCAGTCCATATGGGACTTTTTTTGACAGACACTGCACCAACACACAGAGCAGGGGACAGACCCCAACACGAAGAGGCTTCAATTGAAATGAGTATTTGGTGCCAAGGCTAACAGGGAAACAGAATGTGTCCAGTGCCCAGGGGAGCATATAAACCAGGCTATGAACCTCAATACTGTTCCTGGGACAGATTAGCTCTCCCTAGCTGTGTCCACACACATTCCTTACAGAGAATTCACTTGGCACTGACCTGTTCCACTCGGATATCAAATTCTCCATTCACCTTCTTCCCCTGGAAATATTTGGCCCTGCAGAAGAAACAAGAGAGATAAACATGGTTAAATAAGATTTTTGGCTTTCATTACATACGGTTTTGCTTCTGCATTTCCCTTTTTTGATGAAGAATTTCTATCCGGGTCACAGCATATTTTTCTAATTCCTATCTTCTTTTACCTTTCTGTTCTCCAGGAGAAACCTGCCAAGCCAGATGAAAACCACATTGGAAAGTTCCTTCAAGGCTTGTTACTTTTTCATTTAATTTTCAAACTGAAAACCAAATGTTCTCCTAATCTTTTCCAGGGAACAACTCTAATCAGTGATTCCTTGCTGTATCTCATTTAATACTCAATCTTTATTCTGTAAAAGGAGAACAACATATGGCACAACATTGGGAATTTCTTCTGATGTTGAGCAAGGAGCTTTATCATCACAGCTGAAGTACTTGTGAAGCCTGTTCTCATGCTCTGTCACTCCAGAGTTGCTTTCCACTTCTGTTCCTTTTTGCTGTTGATTTAGGGAAACTGTATCTGCATCTCTACAGGGTCACTGATGAAGGATCTCTTCACCCAAACACAGAAACTGTGCTTGCTTTGGGGTTGAACACTGCTGTAAGAAGAACATACACCTCTGTTCCTATCTCCTCACACCATGCAGACAACACAGCACTTCTAGTAGGCAATTCATGCAAGGGGAAGGCTGTCAGTAGTGCTGGAGAAGAAAACAGAGGAAAAGAACAGGCAGTTTCAGCTTTTTGTATTCATATTTATGTATAATGCCCCTAATATTGATTGGTCAGTGGGGAAATTGCCAATATAAATTTCCCAGTGAATATTTCTCACCAATTCTTCCTCTCACCATACAAGCTTGACAGAAGAAAATATTAATTGATTTTGTCCTCCTCCCCTATAAACTTTCAGAAGGCCATGTAGGGTCCAAAGGGCTCTTCTATTTGGAAAGCATTGAAAACAGTTTAGCCCTATAAGAGCTGTTTCCAGAGACAAAGTAACTCTGGGTTCTGTTTCCAATTGGCAAAGACAGGACAGAATAAAGAAGTAAAGGAAAATGAGGGGAAGCCGGCTTTGCTCCCTATTTTATAGTATGAGAAAAAAAAAAATCTGGCTTGCATTTTTACTATGTGTCTATTTGTTCCAATAAAAAAAGGAGAGACAGTAGGAAGGCAATTTCCCCCATGGCTGAATCACATCAGTTTATAGCTGCACGCTCCCCACCCCCAGAAATGTGATGTGTAAATAAAAAAGTTGTTTTGTCATTCTGGCTCAAAATGAAGTAAAATTTTTTCATTATAATAGAAAAATACATTAAAAATGACAAAAGCCTTCTGCTTAATTCTAACAGGGACATCTGATTGCTGTATCACACTTCCCTTCCCAAACAGCCCATCCATCAGCCTGTAAGACTTCTGCATAGGTGAGGGACAATGTAGCAGCCAGGTGTAACTGAGACCAGGTGACTCAAAAAACCCCTCAACTCAGCAGACAAGCTAAGACATCATGCCTCTAACAATAAACAGGAACTCTAAATGCACTTAATAATTCTATTAAATTTCTGGAGGCATGGCTCAAGAGGGTCTGGCAACATTCCTCACTCCTAAACATTGAGGATATTGCTGGAACCAGTGACTTCTTAAAAACTGCAATAAGCTTTCAGAGGGCTCACAGGAACTGCTCTGAAACTTGAGGCGTACTATTCCCTGGTACAAGTTTGTTTTTATTCCCAGCATGCTCATAATATATATTCCTTACCCACATTTATGGAACACACTTCCTCCCTCTATGGCCTCTCCTCTTTGCTGACCAGCTGGTTGCAAACTCCTTGGTGATGCTTTGCTTCAGCTTGCAATGAAGTGTGATTGACCACAGTCCTCAGCCTGGTTCAGAGGCATCACAGGGGCTTCCACTGCCTGCTCCAGGAAATCAGCCTGCACACAAACCCATCTTTCTCCTCTCTGCAGTACTGGCTGGGCTTATGGGTGGTCACACAGAGGGTGCACCCAGCATTGGGAGCTGCTGGAGTGCTGCAAGGGACCTCAGCTTAGACACTGTGTGACCTCTGTCTGTCCCTCTTTCCACAGAGGTTGTCTCATCCAATGTCCCTAGAACTTTCCTTTAACAGTAAAAAATATCAATTTCTTCCCCAGGAAGCTTAACCTGCTCTGAGTGTCTCTGAACACTACAGGTGCTAAGCAATTTGCAGCCAAATATTTTGGCCCACCCATCATTTTGACACAGCCCAGGATAAGAATAAAACATTTCTTACTGAAACATCTCTGAAATGGATGGAGTGATGTTTTCAATTCTCACCTGGGGTTTTGGAGCCCCTGGGCAGTAGAGGCTATCACAATGAAATGAAAAATGGCCTTAGTATCCTCCTGGAGCCCCTCAAATTTTAAGCAAGCTGGAATCATTGCCACTGCTGTGGAAGTATCATTCCTCTTGCAAGAGACTCTTTGGGTCAGTTCTGCACAACGTCTGAAACGGCTTGTGGTCCTCACAGTGGGCATGGCACAGAGGAAAGGAAGACCACGCTGCTGTGGTGGGGAGGCATGAGAAAGGGAGAAGGCATGTAGAAACATGCCAGGAGTTGGCAGACTCCTGGCTGCACAAGACATCTGTGGATGCTCTCTGCCCCAAAACTACCTGAGCAAGTCTCTTCCAGAATTCTGTCTAGGACCTGCAGAGCTATCTAAGCAGCTTGTAGTGCAGCAGAGGAGCTGTGCCCAGAAGACTAGTCCAAAAACTTTCTGGGAACCTTGGAAGTGTCCCCACTCGCCTTCAGCTCCCAGTGATGAGAGGAGCAGTTCATGGCCCCAGGAGGGCTTAATGGCCCCAGTTTGGGACACTGGGCAAGCCACTGGCCACACAGACCCACTGCTTCTGCCAGGCAGTCTGCAGCACTGACCACTGCCTGGCTGGCCACCCCTTTATTTAAAGCATGGCAGATGTTCAGCTCAGCACAACACAGAGCTGTAATTTGGCCAGGCAGGGTGCAGATGGGTTGGTGTGGTTGCTGTGATCTCAGTGAATTAGCCTGTAAACATGTTTTGACTGAAGAAAACTGCAGGGCCATGCTCAAGAGGAGTTCCTGGGTGGGATTTATAGAGCTAGACAATCCATTTAAATGTGGCCCCATGCACTGGGAGGGAGGAAGGACTGTGATAAACACACAAATGTCTGCCCTGGCTTGCAGGAAAGAAGCTTGCCTCAAACTCCTCTCTCTTTCTGATTAAGAAGCTGCATGCTCTGGAAAAGAATGTATTTTATGGGTGCAAAGACATCAAACAAACTTAAGTTTTGCTTTCTGCCCCAGCTCTGACACGATTACAGGGACATAAGAAACCCAAAGCCTCTTCTTATGAAGTAATCTGGAAAGGATATAAGTTTATTTTGTAGAGATATTCTGTAAATCAGCCCCAGTCTGCCTCAATTACCATGGCTGGAGGAAGCATACACAACAATTTTCTGTCAGATATGGAGTGTGCCTTTACCAGCAGTAGGGAATAATAGATGATCATTTCACCTCCCATTATCTACCTCAGGCTAATTCACAGATTTTCAGATCTTCCTAGGAGAGGCCTCAGTGGAACTGATACAGCAAATATTGGAATGCTGTCTTGGAAACTGGGAAGCCATTCTTCAGATGAACTAATAAGTCTGAGCCCAAATCCCCCAGGATGTGAGTGACTCACACCTCTACCACTGTTCAACAGGGGCCTTGAGCTACAAACTCAAGAGCTGGCTTGTACCTCCAACCCAGAAATGGGCTCTCCTCACTGACAGCATGCAAAAGGACACTAGGATATTGTAATGACAAATTCCTCCAAATCCTCTGACTGAGCTTATGCCTCTGGATCAAGACACAGCGAGCAGAGAAAGCCAAGCCAAACTTTGCATGGAAACCACTTATCTAGAGCAGGAAGCAGCCTTTCCTATGCTGTGGAGGGGCCAGAGCAAAACACAATGAAGAGAGAAATGCACAGGGCTTTTGGGGAGTGGTGGGCGAGCGAGTGGGTGGAAAAAGGAGAGAAATGGTAAGAAGAGACTCAGGTAAACAAACCAAAAAGCATCCATGGGTAAATTCTGGAATTATTTGAATTATTTCCCTGGCATCACATTACACATATTTCTCTTGAGCCCTTGAGAAAATAAGGCCTGTAATTTCTTTCTGAATAATCTAGGAAAAGGCGAGGCTGAAGCCCCCTGGTTTGGGTGTGGGGGCACCCCAGGGAGGGTGGGGAGGTGGTGAGCGCTGTATAAAATCCCCATGTCAAAGGGCCTGGGGGCCCAAGTGATGCACAAGGCACTCACTGTATGTCCACATTGTCTCCTTCATAAAAGGGGCTGAGACTGGGAAAAAGGAGGCAGTTTCCAGGATACTGGCCAGCAGCTGCTGGAATGCCCCGACCCCCCCAGCCCCTGCATGCTATAAGGGCAGCAGGGAGGGGAAGGGGGAGGAGTGCCTTTTTTTTTTTTTTTTTTCTCAAAGTTGAAAATAAGGAAGATTTTCCTTTCAGGAGCCAGTTCTCATTCGGTCCACTACTTTTCCCCACTCCAGAAATTCTCAGCTGTACACAGTAAGAAATTTTAAGATGGTCAACTCCTGGCTTCCCAGGGCACAGGGATGGGAAAAATCACTCCATAAATGCTCAGGTCTGCAAATTGCTGGAGTTTTTTGTCCACATCTACTTTGGCCCAGAGACCTTTATGCAGTGTTCAGCTGTGAAGTGGAGTGGTTGGTAATAAATACTTATTCTCCAAGAATACCTTGGGGCAAGAGGTGAGGGTGTCAGAATGGTGAATAAGAGTGGTGGATGTGTGCTTTGACACCTCAGAAAACAAGGTTTGAATAAAAAGTTAGATGGACCAGAGGCAAGGGCAGAAAGAAAGAAAAGGTATTCACATTGTACATACCGACAGGGAAAGGCCCATGAGTAAATCTCAGGTTTGTGGTGGGTCAAAAGGTACCCTAAATACACTGCTACTTTGCCAGGAGCTCCACAGAAGTTTCAGCT